GACATGGTGATGGGAAACCCACGGGGATTACAATTGAGATGGAAAAAAATGTACAAAATGATGGAAAAATAAACTGTTATAAAAAAAATACTGTTCACAAAAAGTAAAAAATGATTTACAACACAAATTTTGTATCAAGGGACTGTGGAAATGGGTCCTAGGGAGCAAAAAGATGGCCCTCAGCAATCTTTCTCATTAACCCATCAATCCCAGATGACAAGGTCAGAAAAATAATTTCCTATCTGGATTCTCATGTTTGACAGGTAAGTAGATATTATCACTTAGGAAACCACAGTGCAGGCAGGGACAGCATCAGCATCAGCCCCCCTCTGGGGAGCAGGACGGTCCGCAGGGAGGGCCCACAGGTCAGGGGGAGGGCCTGGGGCAGCGCGGGGCCACTGTGCAGTGAGATCACAGAGACTTGCAGCGCACAGAGACCTGCAGGCACCTGAAAGCTATGACGTGTGGGCGAGAGAAAATCAGGTCACTTAGTCTCCAGCACATTGTGAAGGAAAATGTCATGAACAAACTCAGGGGGTCACTTCAGGGCCAAGAATCTTCATAGCCCACCCATCCTCAGAAAACCCCCTCAAACTCCCCCATAACTTGGTCCCTCCTCTCTGCTCCAGCCCCTCCCACACAGGCCTCAGGGTCTCACCTTTAGGGCTGAGAGACACATCAGGGCCCTGAGCACTACGGCTTCCTGGGGAGAACAACACAGACCTGGTCAGAGCCATGAGAGACTGATGGGGTGACTCCCCCAGGGGCTCCATCTGCATTGTCTTAGGGGCTCAGGGACCAAACCCCTGATCCACACTCACCTGCAGCCTGAGTGTAGCTTCCTCCTTGTCTCGCTGTGGGAAGAAACATGGTATGAGAGAAGGGATGAGTCAGGTCATAGCCTTAAGGAATTTTCTAACCATGGACCACAGGGAAGTTTCCAGAACTGTGAATAAAGTCCCAGGTCAGGACTGGGAAAATGAAGAAAGGAGACTGGGAGGGGGACTAAACCCTTTGGGTAACACATGTGTGCAGGTGGTATTCATTACCCAGGAGATAGGGAGAAAGGAGATGAGAGGGACCGGACCAACTGTCCTGGGTCTGTCCTCAGCAGGCACCTTCCCCTATGACATCTGCTGGGAATCAGGGCCTCATCGCCAGAGTTAACAAGGTGGAAAGTCTGAGATTCATTTTCATAAGTTTTTGTAAAAGAGGGTCAGCAGAAAGCTCCAGACTGGGAACACTGTGTGGCTGGTGCTTCCCATGAACCAAGTTTGAACCAAGCCAGCAATGAGGCCCCTGGTGGGGCTGGAGGACTGAGGAGGGGGCTCTGAAAGGGAAGGAGAGGGGAGACCCTGAGCCCCAGTCCTCATCCTCTGAAGGTCTCCAGAAGGGTCCTCAATCCCCCTGAATAGGGCCTCTGTACCCACATACTCCCACACCCCATCTCAGGACTGAGGAATATCTGCACGCACCTGTCCTCCACATTATTCCTGACTTCCTCATCCCAACAGGTCGCCATACACTTGATCTTGGCTGTCTGAGCCACTGAGTCCGCGGGGTTCCAGAGCGCATGTCCTTGTTCAGGGTGAGGTAATCAGCACCCTCGTAGGCCAACTGGTCATATCCCAGAAGGAGGGTCCCAAATCATAGCCAGACATCTCCTGGAGTGTGAGACCCTGTCACAGCCCGCATCATCCCCGCAGTCACCCCGCACAGCCTGTGATCTTCTTGCCAGGAATACTGAGCAGGGTTAATGTCCCTCTCATTCAGGACTTTTCTCTCTCTCTCTCAATAGAATACAAGTAGTGTGAACAAGGTAAAATCATGAATTTGCAATAACATGGACGGATGTGGAGGGATTATGTTAATTGAAATAAGTCAGAAGGAGACAACCAAATCCTGTGTGTGTGGAATGTGAAGAAACCAATCAAGGACAACTGAAAATTAACAAAAGCAAAGTCAGGGAATCTGGCTCATGGTTGAGACTGTAGAGAGGAGCGAGGGCCCATGGACTGTGGTGGAGGACAGTGGGGGCCCAGCGTAATGTGGAGATGTGGAGGGGTGACGTATCTCTGCAGAGGGGGGACCCTGTGCCTTGGACACACAGTGTGGAAACTGATGTCACCTCAGTGGAAATAATACAGTAGTGAGGGGAAATGAAACTGAGAGAAAGTAACTAGTTTCCTCCACCCATCACTGACCTCAGGACTCACCTTGGCCTCCTGACTGTCATGGGGTGAGGGCTGGTTTCCCACAAGGTCCCTCCCCAGGGACTCCTGGGGAGCTCAGATCCCCTGAGTAGAGACACTGCAGAGACGGGGGCTCTGAGGGGAGCCAGGGACAGAGGGTCAGCTAAACCCAGTGTGAGGGAGGGTCTGGTTCCCAGGGAGGGGAGTGTGTGTTTGTGTGAGTATGTGAGTGACAGTGGAGAAGGATAAACAACACAACAATGGGTGACAGTCATACACCAAGCACAGCGTAAGTTAACTCCAATCCCACAGCGTGAGCAGTGGCAGGTCAACACCAGTCAGTACAGTTCAGTGAAGAGAAGCAATGTTTAAGCTGGACTGAAAAAGCAGAACTTTTTCAGAGAGGAAGTTTAGATTGACCTCATGGTCAGTTAGAATGTGGGGACCGGGATATGTTTCCCCTCAAAGCTCATGCTGGGGTGTGGTGGCACCTGCCAGCTCCCTCACTAGCACCCAGTGTTCACTTCAAACTCATCTCCTTTGGGGTCTCTGTAGAAAACCCGCAGGCCTCAAGTCAGGGAGCTCCAGTTTGACACCCCTCTGTCTCCCAGGGGTCACTTCCTCTGTGGGCTGCAGCTACTTCCCTCCAGAGCAGAGTTGAGTGGGTCCCACAGGATGGGAGGGGGGAGTCTGTGACCTGCTGGCCTGGCCCGGGGTCAGGAGGAACCCAGATTACCCCGTAACTGAGCTGAGCCTTTGTTTATGGCCCAGGAAGGAGGGAGACATGGAGCAGGGTCTCCCTCAGCTCCGGGGGGCGGGTGCAATGTTAGAGTGGGGGAAATTACTGTTTCTTTCTCATTCTGGGGTCCCCCCATCTCCTAGGTCATGTGCCACAGGGAGAAGGTCTCAGACCCCTCCCCACTGCAGTGTTCAGGATGAGTCTCCCGTGTTCATGGCCACACTAGGGAGAGCATAGAAAGATCCGTCTATTGCGATATGAACACCAGGAGCGGCGGTCAGTTGTTACTCTAGAAGGTCTTTTATTTGGTTGTTGCTGTAATGTTGCTGTAATGTCGCTGCACAGTCGCAAACATCAGGACAGGGAGGAAGTGTTGCCCTGAGTCTCAGGCGCTTTCTTTGTTCTGTGCTGCATCTCTTCTGTGTCCTGGCCTTGACCAGTCTGTGCCTTCGCCCAGAATGTGGACAGGGAACGTCTAGGCTACTGACCTCTCAGGGCAAAGTCCTGGTCTGAGGATCTGTGATGCTGAAACAGCGTGTGTAGAGACAGCAGTGGGAGTTAGGCTGTGAGTAGCAGAAACACTGAGGCTTCTCCTGAGTCTCTTCCTCATTTCCCAGTAGGGCTGGGGCCACCCGGTGACTCATCCCCCACACCTTTGTCTCCCCCACCCAGACTCCCCAACACCTAAAGAAGTGGCTCTGAAGCCTTAGTGCAGACAACCTAGGCCGACTGTTGAACATGCAGATTCCTGGATGGTCCCTTAGAGAAGCGGCGCAGCGCCTCTGGGGCTGATTCTGAGCATTTTCTTTCTGAGATGACCCATGTTGGGGGGTCATATGTTAGGAGTCATGGCCCTAGAGCAAAGCTTCTGACATTCTAGCAGGTAAGCAATGAGAGGGGTCCTGTGCCATGCAGACCTCATCCCGTCCCTCTGGGGCTGCGCTACAATCCCTTCTCAAGCATGAAATGTGTATCAAAAGGATTAAGTTTTAG